CAGCCGCGGCGCGTCTGGGCTGTCCGCTGCCCTCGTGCTCCGCGGCTTTGCTGCCCGTCTCCCTGGTCTGCTGGAAAACAGCAGACCAGGGAGACGGGCAGCAAACCCCGTTCGTAACTGCGGATCTGACGTAAGTCGGATCCGCGTAACTTGGGGACTGCCTGTACATCTTCCTGGCACTTGGGCTACTATAGATGAGCTGTACTGGGCTCAAAACAGGAGTAACTGGGTAAAATTCTATGATCCATGTTATACAGAATGTCAGACCACATGACTGAATGGTCCCTTCTGGCATTAAAATCTACGAGATGCTAAGCCCGTATGTTCCCTTTACATAAGCTATTAGAGACAATTACACCAGAATCCTGCTTGCTTTGTGGTTGTCTGTGTATGGGGCAGGAAGTGTTTTAAATTGTCAAAATACTGGGAGATGTGGATGACAGTAAAAGACAGTTTCTGCAAAGGAGCTTACCCTTGTGCATAGCTACAAAACTTTTAAGTCAGAGGTGGATTTGTTTCTCCTCTCCCCACCCCCAAACCTTGGGGGCGTCTTGAATGTCAGACTAAACAAACTATCAAAAGAGATATCTTTCATGGAAACTTACTCTATTAAATTCTGTGACTATAGATCTTTTTAATTGATTACTTTCACAAACAACTGTTTTTTAAAGAACAGATTAAATGCATGGGGACTTTTTAAATATCAAATAGAAGTAAATCAGCCAATTTTTATTTTATTGGCAAAGAAAATCAGGCTTTTCTCTCTCTCTCATAGTAGCACACACACAGTTAAGCAAAGAAATGCTGAATATATAAGATGGGGGGAAAACACAAAGAGGATGTGGTTGCAAAACAAAACAAAACAAAAAAAACTTTAATACAGGGAGTTTTGAAAGATGGCCATAACAGGCACAGACAAAATGTAATAATTATTTTTGATACCAGAGCAATATGAGAGCTAGTTGAATAGTTTCAAATGTATGTGTGCGCAAATAATGTAGCAAATTAGCATTTTTGGGATACATTAATTGTTATTTGTGAGTTAACAATGAAAGTTTGCACATCTAGAAAATTTAATAAATTGTAAATAGGAAAGATGATTTATCTGAAATATTCATATTGAAAGTGTGTTAGTTGTTATTTGATAGCCACTACCTGAAATCTCTTCAGCAAAAGAATAAAACAAGACAATCATTTAGCCAGGGAGTAGACACAACAACTTTCACCTCAAATGACCAACCACACATGGCAATGAGAAATAGTACAAGGGTCAAAGATAAACTTGATCTTCATTTAAAATTTAGGCTGATAGCACTATGCTGGTCTGCACTGTGAAAAATCCACTCATGAGCATTGTAACTATATTGACCCAACTCACAAGCTGTCTCTACACTGGCATGATTTTGTGCAAAAGCAGATGCTTTTGCGCAAAAGCTTGCTGCCTGTCTACACTGGCAGGGAGTTCTTGTGCAAGAACACTGACATTCTAATGTGTGAAATCAGGGCTTCTTGTGCAAAAACTATGATGCTTCTGCTCAGGAATAAGCTCTCTTGTGCAACTGTTTTTGCGCAAGAGGCCAGTGTAGACGGGCAACATGAATTTCTTGAGCAAGAAAGCCTGATGGTTAAAATGGCTGTCGGAGCTTTCTTGCGCAAGAGAGCATCTACACTGGCACAGATGCTCTTCGCAAAAGCACATCTTTTGCGCAAAGGCACATGACAGCGTAGATGCTCTCTCGTGCAAATACTCTAACACAAAAACTCTTGTGTTAAAGAGTATTTGCGCAAAATCTTGCCAATGTAGACATAGCTACAGTGTACACACTGCTATGTCAATGGGAGAATATTCCCTTTACCCTAGCTATCATTAGTTAAGGAGGTGTTGTTCCTAAAGTGATGGTTATGGCAGCAAAGCTATAGTACTGTGTCTATGCCAGTATCATCCCTCAAGCATACACATACCCAAAATGAAAGAGGAAGGGTGAAGTTTGTTCACAAACTACACTTGAACCTCTATACTTTTGGGCTGCGTCTAGACTGGCAAGTTTTTCCGCAAAAGCAGCTGTCTACACTGGCCGCTTGAATTTCCGCAAGAACACTGACGATCTCCTGTAATGTTGTCAGTGTTCTTGCGGAAATGCTATGCTGCTCCCATTTGGGCAAAAGCTCTCTTGCACAAATGCTTTTGCGCAAGAGGGCCAGTGTAGACAACATGGTATTGTTTTGCGCAAAAAAGCCCCAATCGTGAAAATGGCGATCGGGGCTTTCTTGCGCAAAACCACATCTAGATTGGCACGGATGCTTTTCCGCAAAAAGTGCTTTTGCAGAAAAGCGTCCGTGCCAATCTAGATGCTCTTTTCCACAAATGCTTTTAACGGAAAAGCTTTTCCGTTAAAAGCATTTGCGGAAAATCATGCCAGTCTAGACGTAGCCTTGGTGTCCCTAATCCAGGAACAACGTTCAAGTGTATTTGACGAACACTTGGGGATAACAACTACACCTGTAGAAGTTGGAGTCAGTGCATAAATAGAAAGAAAAGTAGTATAATGAGTTTCAATTAACAAGCTTTAAAATGATCAAATTAATGATTCTTGTACTATGTTGAAGAAATATAAAAATATACATTTTGAAGATTTCATATACAAAAATTAAGCTAATGAACAGGAGCGATGAACAGAAGTATTGTGAATATGTTCTCCAGGTGAAGGAGGAATGATTACATGACTCTTGGGATAAGTTTATTGTCTGTAAGGTATGCACTTATATTTCAGTTGAGCGGCAAGCACGCTACTAACACACCATGTGGTCTATGCTATCATGTGCCGAAAGTGTCCGTCTGCTATGTACATTGGACAAACATCTCAGACACTTCGCCAAAGGATTAATGCCCACAAAACAGATATCAGACAAGATCACAAGGAGAAAACAGTTTCTTGCCATTTTAACCAGAAAGGACACTCTCTCAATGACTTGACCACCTGCATTCTGCTACAAAGACCTTTTACATCTGCACTTGAAAGGGAATCCTCTGAACTGTCATTCATGTTAAAATTCGACACTTGCCAACAAGGACTTAACAAACATTTGAACTATCTCACCCATTACCAAGACAGTTTCCCCAATTATCACCTCTAATACCATTAACTCACAAACATCCCACTCTCCCTACCTCTAATATCATCAATTCACAGACACTTACCTTCCTTCCTTTCCCCCCTCCCCCCGCATCC